ATTGAAAATCGGATGTGTATTGTCAAATACACAGTACTTCATCCTGGCAACTACGACATGTTGGCTATAGCCGAGCTCATATGAACTCAGATTAGTCTCTGCGTATGTTACCATGGTTTCATTTTTATCTGGGCCAGTGTGTATCGTCGTAGATGAACCGCACTCTACTGTAGTGGGCCACAGTCACGTTTGCGTTCAACGCATTCTTGTGCCACTTTACACCAATATCCACAGACTACATTTATATTCACGGGCGCATTTTGTGGGTATGTATGTATACCACCTGACCTCCTATATTCTATTGCTCGCATATGTTCTATTGCATATACGTTCCATCTCATATGTCGCTGCCGAGCAGTCGAACGCCGTTGCACTGGGCGGCTGTGATTGGTTCATGTAACATGGCCGGAAAAACACTACGTCCCCATATACCCACCACATTTGGCGTATGTCATAGGCTCCTACCACATGCTACTGACACTATCTTACTGCATGATACGTATAACACATATCGCACTCATCTCGGTGTCTATGAGGGTTTAAGGTTTAGAATTCAGGTTTTAATATCTTCATGCTTTAGGGTTTAGGGTTCAGGGTTTAGGATCTTCATGCCGCTACCACACACGGTCCACGAGACTGTGTAGTGTACCTAGGGGACCCATTTTAAACATTTCGGGGCCTGTCCCCTTTCCATTTTAAACAGGACAATCGCACGCCTCTGCACTGGGCAGCTGCAATTGGGTCGTTCAACATAGTCGAGTTTCTCGTGAGCCAGGAAGTGAACATCAACTCTTCAGATCGGTGGGAGACCACACCGCTGGAAGAAGCAATGAACAATGGTACGTGTGTGTGTGAGAGGTGTGTGTACGTGTGTGTGTGAGAGGTGTGTGTACGTGTGTGTGTGTGAGGTGTGTGTGTGTGAGGTGTGTGTACGTGTGTGTGAGAGAGGTGTGTGTACGTGTTTTTGTGTGAGAGAGGTGTGTGTACGTGTGCGTGTGCGTGTCAGATGTGTGTACGTGTGTGTGTGGGTGGAAATATAGTCATGTATGTAGTGTAGGATACTGTAAACGTTTACGTATTGTGTTAGTAGAATAGAGTCGCGTTTGCATGGTATTGACTGGTATATAGGCAGTGGGGCATCGTCTGGTCACTGATATACAGACAGGGAGGCGTGTATGTAGATGAATAAGTGTGTACATCTATCTATCGGGCATGTGGGAATGTGCGCCATTATGTACCTACGTATAATAACACATGTACATGGTATGAAACATGGTTAGTATGTTATTACTCAACTGATAGTATAACTACGTACCATAGCACATGTGTATAGTATGAAACATAGTTAGTATGTTCGTACGCACAGCAGCAAGCATGCGAACTCGGAGCCGTAGTATGTGTGTAGCAGTGAGACATCTGACGATGTGGAAAAACCCAAAAAACACCAATGCAGATGAGCGGCGTCTTCATCTGCACCGCCCCCCACCCCTAAAAACATCATAATAGTATTATCTGAAGTCTCACGCTTATAATGAAAGTATATATAA